TTTTGTACTGCTGTTACACAGCACAAAACGCATAAAAAGTAATTCCGATATGTCTGCGTGTATCCACTATTAATCGCTTTCTTGAAAAGTAGAAAAAAAAAAACCGTGCAGACTGGCAGTAGAAAAAATATGCAGATTTAGCAGTTTTAACTCAAGACATACAGCTTTGGAGAGCTGCTCACAGCGACTCGTCAGCCTCTCGGTCTGCACTTTCAAAGACTGGTTTTCCTTTTGTAGGCCTTCCGTCGCGGCCAGTCTAGAGACCATTTCATTTTTCTTCGCAATTTCACGAACATAAGCCTGCAAAATTGAACAGCCTATGAATAACATTAAGGGAATTTTAGGCGAGCATGGCAAAATAATCCGCGCCTTCTTGTCCGTTTGGAAGAAACGCAGTACGTCTGACCTAAAGAAGCCATTTACTGAAAGTACCACCAGCGGTGAAGCTCACTGCTGTTATACCAATAAATATAAGCAATGAATAAATTTTTTTTTTCTTAAATTTTTGGACAAAAATTCATATTACAAAAATCTACTTGCTATCAGGCCCACAAAATATTCGAAGACAACGCGTTGGTATGCAAAATTAGAACATTTGATACAAAGGAAACGCAAAGTGGTAAATAGGACCTCTCACGTTCACAAAAAGTAGGCCTTACCAGCCAACTCTTCGACAGAATAGGACCTCAAGGCCAACTGTACTCATCCACAAAACAGGGCCCACTTATGAATACCGTTAAAAAAACAAATAAATATAAACAATGAAAAGCACAGGGCAGTTTCAGACGACATCAGTGCATTAAGCATGTTATCCAACTATCTTCCCCTCTTCCATTCTCAGCTCATGTCTTGCTTCCTCAACGTGCAAATATCGCGGGCTAACACTGGTGTTATTATGCAAACAACTAACTTCAGCCTCTTTTTGCAGTTTGAGTATCTCCTCTTCCAACTTCAAACGCTGTTCGGTGGCATCAGCTTGTTGCGATTGTAAACGCTTCCACTGCAGTTCGGCATTCATCATCCTCTCCGCAGTCTGAACTAACCGAAAGAATAAGAATTTCATCAAAAAAAGTTCACAGAAAAAAAACTAAATGAATAACAATGAGGCTGCGGAATCAGTGAAGGA